ATATTATATATATATATAAAATAATCTAAAAATGATAAAAACGCAAATAAAGAAATATAATATTTCATATATGTAGATTATAGTAATAAATTATAATAGTACACATATTTATAAATACAACGTACGTAAAGTAAAAAAAAAAACAAAATTCAAAACTTTGAATGATCATTGAATATTATTAATATTCAATTGAAGAAAAATGTATAATATTTTATTCAAAATTCCGATTGGATTCGAATAAATTGCAAATTTTGCAATAATCGTCCAAAACTTAGAATTTTCACAAGCTTGTAACTTTAATTTGTAAAAAAAATAGATAAATTATCATACCAGAGACATTTTATTAATGCAACTTAATTGAGCGGTATCACCGTTGTTTCCTTTTACGTATTTGGAGATAATAATAGCAATTTCGTGCTTGGTACGCTGCTGAGAATATTTAATTATTTAAAAATCAAAAGTAGTATTACCTTTCCTTTTAATACTGTTTCCGTACTATAATTTAAAATGAGAGAGAACAACGATATTCGATTTAAACGCGGCATATTTCGACACAGTAATTTTGTACGACGAGAAATATCTAGAGTGGAAGTCAATATAGATATTTCTCATTAAATAGCTCAACATAGGATATTTATTTATTAAATAATAAAAATTTAATCTTTCATGAATTACTTGTATGTCTATAACTAAGAAGACTAATTATCAGATTAATTATCCTATTTATATTTTGCATTTACTATTTACATCCAATCGAATCGCCATCAAATCAACTAATAACCATCGGTTGTATTTTTAATAATTCCCTTAACGAATGCTAATATATGTTGTTTTTAACACATGACGCAAATGATACGGCATCCGTTAATGGGATATGATCGAAGCGCATGCAAATTGGGGCAACTACGTGCGTAGTCAATTTATTGCAACGCGACCGCGGTAAAGGAAATTAAACGTAATATTGCGGACGAACAATAATTTTATGGTCAAACGCATTACGACATTTTGATCCTGCCCACGCTGTGGTCGAAAGTAAATATTCCACACGCGACGTTAAATCGTTAATACGCGTAGTACCAAAGCCATTTGGGGAGTAGAAACGTGGTTTGCGTTAGCTGTACAACCTGTCGACTGAAATTCCCCGTTCGGTCGTCAAACTAAATTTGATATGTCCAACATCCTATCGCGGCTTCGAGATACTCTCGTCTATACACGACCACATTGATGCTGAACGGATTGACTCACATAAAATGCGTGAGATATTGTAAATGGCTTAACTATTCGTAACACGAATGAAATTTGTGATCAGATTGCGTAAAATAAAAAACTTTAATCACTACTTATTATTCATCTCACGATAAATAAGATCAAATGGAATTAAAAGTTCAATTGCTTATTTAAAAAATTGGCTATACAATTTTTTGCACAATTTTTTCGGATGTAATGCAATTTGAAATATCTTCATTGGTTTATACAGCATTGGAGATGTAAGATAGATGGACCGGCGAAGATAGAAGCTCCCAACGATATGAATTTTTCACAAGCCATTTCCCTGCGTCTTTACACTTCGCCGGTTATCAAGGCTCAAATTAACGGCAAGTTTTCCTTAACGTTCAAGTCTACACAACTATTATCATATCTCGCAATACTGCACGGAACGTTGAACATACAAATGGTTTTATTTCCGGTTACTATATTTCTCAGTAACAGGTAATAAACGTTAGCCTTTATCGCTCCATTTTAAACACCCTGTGGCCACTTGCGGTTGGAATGTAAATGGTACTTTAGTCGTAGTCTCTTAATCGTAATACGCCTATCAGCGTCGCTCATAGCAAAAATTCTACCTCCATGCACCAAATCGATTACGTGCTGGCGAAACGCGGCCGCGCGTGTTTCTATTCCCTCTAATCAGGCGCGAGTTGGTAATGCGTGTCTGTATTTACAATAACGTTACACATCGCAACGGCTGAGACGAGCGATCTATTTAACCACAAGTTGCGTCAATATAATGAATATTAACGAGCATTAATCGGTGAATAACGGTAATGGACGACCGATAACGCATCGCGTAGTGTTGCGTTAATCTCCGGCATGATGGTGATGAAGGTACGCCGGCACGTTTCGCCGATTATTAAACTGCGGTATAAGTTAGAAAACGGGCAGACAGCTCGTATCAAGACCGAAACTCTAGGGACGATCGAAAATATTTTCCGAGCGTGCTTATCCGCACGTGCGCCGCATTCGCCTTGCGTTTTTCCGCGTTTCTTCCAACGTTTTACGGCTCCGTTCCAACGTGAAAGATGCAATGACCCAAGACCGAAGGAGAAACGAAGCGCTCTAAAGAAGAGCACGTGTCGACGGCGGGACGTGGAAGAGGAAGCATGGTAGATCAGTCACGATCGAAAGAAGAACATCGCTACCCTCTCGAGAAAATAATACCACAAGACTACTCGCAAGAAAAGTTATTATTATAGGGAAAAAAGCGGATAGCATTAAATTTAATTTCTCGCTTTAGAGAAATTGTATATCTGCACTCGTTTGCGCGCCATATATGAAAGAAACACCTCGGGAGCTCGGTATAATTAACAATCTAGTTAACCATGAGAAATAGAAATAAAAAGAGATACTATTATAATAAAAGATAATATTGCACAATTATGAGAATTTTTAGTGCTCATAAAGCAATTGCCTGAAAGAGCCAATTTAATTAATATAATGATATTGATTAGCACATATTTATGTTTATCGTGCCATTGCTTCATAATTAATTAGATACAATTAGTGATTGTTCA